GGAGCCCTGACTTAGATGATTGCAGGGCTGAACTGAGAACGAAGGAAAATAAAGTTATTTCGACTTAAATAAATATTTGGAGAAATAATCGTTCTGTTGCGCTCTAGAAGGTATGGGTTGGCATATTTATCCAAAGATGTTAGTGGAAGTAACTAACTCGTCAACATTAATTTTATTTTTTAGATCTGCATTTTTTTTTTAAAAAAGGCTCTAACGATTCCTGGTTGAGGGGAATTATTCATTAGACTGAAAGTCTTAGGATAAATGGATATATACACTTGTTGCAGTTGTATGCTGCATTTTCCCCATAGCTGCCCAATAAAAGTATTTGTTATAATTTAAGGCAGCATCGTGATTTAAGACATCTTGTAGGGCATCTTGCTATGACATACCTTTTATTCATAGTTTTAATTATCATAATTTAACTTTGCAGACGGATGAGGTGCACGCAAAGGATAATACAAGACCTGGTACAAATTCTGCAGGTAATGACTGCCTTGATCAAGCTGCTATATATTAGTCATCCATATAATGATGAAAAGTCAGTCTGAACCAATTTATTACATTTTGCTTTAAAATTCAGGCCCATGGTTTTTGATCAGAAAAAATACCTTAAAAATAGTTAAAACGTATCAGTATTATTCCCAAACAATTGCTATAATACTTTATTAATGTAGTTTCAGAATAAAAAATTTTTTGTGTGTGTATTGTATTTGAAGTATCGTGTAGGAATAATATATATATATATATTATTTTTTACAGAAATGTGGTCAGAAGCAATTAAGATTTTAAAAGGAGAATATGCTATTCGTGCCATCAAGGAACACAAGATGGATCAAGCAATCATCTTCTGCAGAACTAAGATAGATTGTGACAATATGGAACAATACTTTATACAGCAAGGAGGAGGTAGTATTTCTTGTGCCCGTTAATGCTTCTCTCTCTTCTTTTATGAATTGTATTTTTTCCATTCCACCCCCCCCCCCCTTTAAGGATAACTTTTCACAAAAGATACTTTTCTACTGATAGGATTGTTCTTTTTTTCACTACTTTAAAGGGTGGAATTGGCATCACATCGGCATTTCTACTACAAAAAATATTCAAGGATTCTCTTTTGATTTTTTTTTTTTTTAGTTCTGTTGTCTATCCCACAAGTGGAACAATTTCCTTCTTTAGCTTCTGGGGCAGTAAAGCAAATATCATGGGTTAGAAAAATGACTTCCAGGCCAGTGACACGGACATGCAACCTTGCGGGCTGCGGTGAAAGCAGAAATTGGACATGCTCAATTTTGTGTGTACATGTGTGCATTTCACATATACACATTTCTCATATATCAGTTACTTAAATTTTGGTCTCCTCTTTCTCAGTTCAAACGTTTCAGTCTCCCCCTACTTTTCCCAGTGAAACTAAATTTGGATTCAGTGCTTTTAACTGCAAAAATGGGCTTTGACACATTCTCACTCTTTAAATGCAGTTGGGCAAGGAAGTGAAAGGGTAAAGAGAGCTACATCATCCACTGATGTGCACTGGGTTCACATCTGCAGGGACTTTTAATGTATTATACACACAGAGATACACAGACACAAACGTGCAAGCACATGTATGCGCACTGATTGTGAGAATGTAGTAACATAATATATGGTGTTTCTAATATTTTCTGATCATTTTTTAAGGTCCAGATAAGAAGGGACATCAATTCTCGTGTGTGTGCCTTCATGGAGACAGGAAGCCTCATGAGAGAAAGCAGAATTTGGAACGCTTTAAGGTAATTATGGCTTTAATGTACTGATAGGTGATTGGTCTCCATATTGAGAGCTGAAAATTGGGCATTTATTTCAGTTTAATGGGTGAATCGTTCAACTTAAAATGTTGTGCCTTGTTCTCCTTGTCTGTTCAAGAGTCACGGAGGTAGCTCCAGAAAGTCCTCCACAAATGGTGAGGCACTTATTTTTTAAGCCCACTCAGAGAGCAACCAGGAATCCAACAATGGATGAAGAGGCAGGGATAGCCCTTTCCATCAATTCACCATTCCTCGTGCAAGCTCAGGAGTGCAATACGTGAGCCCACATTCTCCTGGAGGGCCCAGAACGACAATGGAGAGGGGAAGTGTTGCAGAAGGGATAAGCTTCTTGCCATTCCTATCCTTCTCCATTCTTGCAGCATTCCTAAAATATAATACACACCTGCATCCGGTCCAAGATTTTTCTTTTTCTTTTGGGTGAAATAACCAAGCTCTGGGCTAGACCCACAGACTCATCTGGACTGAAACCACCACTCTTCATAGCCAATATATTAAGAGAATGGACTGCATATAACTTATCTACCTATACAGGAAGCCAAATTCTACTGAATACAATAACCCTGTAAAGCAGAAGAATATCTTAACAAAAAGGGGTTAAGGGGCTGGCCTAGGAATCAGGAGACTGGGCTTCCTAGCCATGAAAATCCGCTGGGTAATTTTCGGCCAGTCACTGTCTCTCAACCCAACCCTCCCCACAGAGTTGTTGTTGTGGAGCAAATAGTAGGAGAATCGAGTATTAGACATATTCATCACATGAGTTATCAAAATAACAAGGGATAAAAATCAAATAAATAAAAAAAATCCTGCAACTGATCGGAGATTGTTTCCAGGACCTTCAGTCCTGTACCACTCTGCTATTCTGATAGCCAGTTGCTCAGTGGTAGCCACTGCAGAAGAACGAGGATAATTTTGTCAACCAGCATTTAGATTGTGAGACTTCTAAAAAATTTGGGAAAGTGAAGCATGTTAGGAGTAGGAGGAATTAACGAAGGAATAGTCTTCGCCATTGGCAATTCTGTTAGGTCAAAGGCATTTTATGGTAAGCTAACTCTAGATTCAGCTTACAGCTTTATTGAATTGTAGTTGATATCTTGTATTATAATGATTATATAAAAATGAAATTAGAAGGCACCCACTTTTGCTCACCTTTTCTGTTTAGAAAGCAGACGTCAGATTTTTGATCTGCACAGATGTAGCAGCCAGAGGAATTGATATCACTGGTGTGCCTTACGGTAAGACTTATAAACCACTTTACCGCCATCAAGAAAGTCTACTCTTAGTGGAAGGCATGAAGTTGTTGAGTTGACAGTTGCAACAGAAATGCTGCTTCAAGTAAGCTGCACATACCATGCCAGGGTGGGACAGATAAAATATTAATTCCAGTGAACTTTGCCGAGGTCCCTGTTAGCCGCGGCAAATGCTGGGGCTAAGTGTATGTTGCTTCTAGAGGGGTTCAAGTAATGCAACATTGAATTTAGTGCAAATTGTAAATTGATACAAAGTTGTGTTCAGTGTGACTTCCAAAATCAGTTCACGTGAGGCCATCAAGTCTGCAGTTGAGGTTTAAGAATGCGTGCAGATGCGATTGGGGTTTCAGACTCTGCTAATCTTTGTGGGCAAAGTGGAGAAAAGGAAGATTCTGGCACAGGAGATAACTACAAGATTAAAAAAGAATATGGTAGTTATATTAAAGGAAAAATGGATGCAATTGAATGACATGAACTTGGTCGTAGCAATATTAAAATAGGATAAGATCTTATCCTAAGGAGCCGAGGTGGCGCAGTGGTTAAGGTGCAGTACTGCAGGCCACTTCAGCTGACTGTTATCTGCAGTTCAGCGGTTCAAATCTCACCGGCTCAAGGTTGACTCGGCCTTCCATCCTTCCGA